AACTTTGAAATTACAAAAAAAACTTTATCATACTCTCTGAACACTAATGCAACTAAATTGTAAGTATGAAAGCCCGCAATCATGACCTCTATCAGTTATGGGCCCTTAAATTAAAAAAAAAACAATAGATAAAACAGCATTTTTTTGGCGATAGTTTTCCATTCGCCGATAATAAACTTACAAAAAATTATTTTAGTAAAGTAGCCAGTGAGCGCCCTGGGTCATTGGATTATAGGCGCTTGCGTTATTATTCAAGATTTTATTATTTATTAGTGGTCAGAAAGCGCCCTGGGTCATTGGGTGATAGGCGCTTGCGTTATTATTCACAATTTTATTGTTTATTAGAGTAGCCAGTAAGTGCCGCAGATCATCGGGTGATAGGCGTTTGCGTTATTACTTAAGATTTTATTATTTATCAAAGTGACCAACAAGCGTCCTGGGTCATCGAGTGATAAGCGATTGCGTTATTATCTAAGATTTTACTTTGTATTAGAGTGGCCAGAAAGTGCCCCTGGTCATTGGATATTAGGTGCTATTTTTAATTAGAAGATATTCGTTTTTTTGCGATGCAGGCACCGTCTTTGGGAGCACTGCCCTCAGTTATAACATGAAACTCTAGCTAGCCACGGAACTGAACGAAACGTTCTGAAATAAAATGTCTGTAGTAAATTTCTTAATAATATGCGTGTAATATACGCAATTTTCAAATATTCAAATGGATGTAGTAATGTAAAATTACATTTTATTATACAAGAAAACTTTAAGTACCTTATTTTACTCTAAATTCAAATAACTAATTACTGAACAAACATAGGCATACTGTTATTTACTTAACGTGGTAGTTACAAAGAAAAAAATAACTTTTGTTGACGTTGTTTTAAGGATTTTTAGTTTGTATACTCACTTAGAAATTGTCGACATCTAGCCATTGGTGCATAAGGTTGGCCAATCGATGGAAATAGTAGTACCATTATATTTAGCTGATTTGTGAAAGCGCTTAGTACAGTATTTTGATTCATTGATTGATTTATGCCGTGCGACAGCTGATTAATTTGCTGGAATATTTATTGATTGTTGTATTACTCTGCTTTTGAACTTTATATATACACATATAATACATTTAGACGCTACATAATTTTTAAGTTTACCTTCTTCATTCTCTGTAAAGCTTGTTCTACATGCGGTGTGATAATTGCTCCGTCCAAAGCAAGCTTTACAAAGAATGAAGCAGGTAAATTTAATAAATGTGTAGTATTTAAATGTATTCTATATATAGTTTGAAATCAAAGTAATACAATAGTCAATAAATATTTCAGCAAATTAATCAGCTGTCGCACAGCATAAATCAATCAATGAATCAAAATACTGTACCAAGTGCTTTCACAACTTAGCCAAATGGTATGGTACTACCATTTTCATCAATTGGCCAACCTTATGCACCAATGGCTGAATGTTGACAATTGCCAAGTAGATGAATAAATTGAAAGTTTTTAAAACGTCAACAAGAGTTATTTTTTCTTTGTAACTACTACGTTAAGTAAATAACAGTATGCCTATGTTTGTTCAGTAATTAGTAGTTTGAATTTAGAGTAAAATAAACGACTTAAAGTTTTCTGTTTCAATAATTTGAAATCTTACATTAAAACATTTATTAAAATATTTGTAAAATGTGTATGTTACACGCATATTATTAAGAACCTTATTACATACACTTTACTGCAGAACCTTCCGTTCAGTTCGGCGACTAGCTATAGTTTCATGTTATAACTGGGGGCAGTGCTCCCTAAGACTGTACCCACAAAGCACCAAAATTAAAATCTTCTACATTCATAATAAGCGCCTATCACCCAATGACCAGGGGCGCTTTCTGGCCACACCAATACAAAGTAAAATCTTAGATAATAACGCAAGCGCTTATCACTCGATGACCCAGAGCGCTTACTGGCCACTCTCACAAATAATAAAATCTTAAATAATAAAGCAAGAGCTTATCAGCCAATGATTCAGGGCACTGACTGGCAACTTAACTAAAATTTTTTATGTAATTTTAGCACCAGCGAATGGAAAACCATTGCCGAAAAAGTGCTGATTTGTCAATTTTTTGAGAATCTAAATGCCAATAACTAATAGAGATTATGATATTGTGAGCTTTTATAATGGTAATTTAGTTGCATTAGTGTTTGAAGAGTATAATAAAATTTTTTTTGTAATTTTAGCACCAACAAATGGAAAACTATCGCCAAAAAAGTGAAATTTTTTTTATTTTTTGAGAATTTAAGGGTCCATAACTAATATAGGTTATGATTGTAGGCTTTCATACTAACAGTTTAGTTATATTACTGTTTAGAAAGTATAATAAATTTTTTTTTGTAATTTTAGCACCGGCGAACGGAAAACTATAGCGAACAAAGTGTTGTTTCTTTAATTTTTTGAGAATCTAAGAGCTCATTACTAGTAGATGTTATAATTTCTAAATTTTATACTCACAATTTCGGTGTATTAGTATTTGGAGAGTATGATAACTTTTTTTTGAAATGTTAGCACCGGCGATTGGAAAACTATCGCCGACAAAGTGCTTATTTTTTTATTTTTTAAGAATCTAAATGCCCATGACTAGTAGAGGTCATGATTGCGGAATTTTGTACTCACAGTTTAATTGCATTTTTGTTTAGACAGTCTAATAAATTTTTATTTGTAATTTTAGCACCGGCGAATGGAAAGCTATCGCCGAAAAAATGAAATTTTTTCTATATTTGGGAATTTCAGGGTCTATAAGTGATAGAAGTTATAATTGCGGACTTTCATACTCGAAATTTAGTTGTATCACTGTTTAGAAAGTATAATAAATTTTTTTTTGTAATTTTAGGACCGTCGAATGGAAAACTATCACCGACAGAGTGCTGTTTTTTTTTTTAATTTCTTGAAAATCTAAGTGCTTATAACTAAAAGAGGTTGTGATTGCGGGCTTTCATGCTTACAGTTTAGTTATATTAGTGTTTGAAGAGTACATATCTTTTTTTTGTAATTTTAGCACCGTCAAATGAATAAGTATCACCAACAAAGTGCTGTTTTTTCAATTTTTTCAGAATCAAAGGGTCTTTTACTAATAGAGATTATGATTGCAGGCTTTCATATTTACAGTTTAGTTGTATTATTGTTTGAAGAATATAATAAAATTTTTTTTGTAATTTTAGCTCTGGCGAATAGAAAACTACCGCTGAAAGATTGCCATTTTTTCAATTTTCTAGGAATTTAAGTGCCCATAACTAATAGAGGTTAGGATTATTTATGATTGCCTGCTTTCATACTTACAGTTTATTTGTATTAGGGTTTGAGGAGTATAATATAATTTTCTTTTGTATTTCTTTTATTGGCAAATGGAAAACGATCGCCGAAAATATTGATTTGAAACATCTTTTAGGTGTAATATGCCTTGCTAATATTTGAGGTTGTTTCTAACGTTCCTCACTGTTTAGTTATGTAGAAAAGTTATTAAAATTCAACGCCGTATTTTGCCACGGGCCATATACTATAATTATTTAAAAGTTTTTTACTGCCTACACTAATAACATCTCTAGTTTCACGCTCGGATCCGTTACATACGCTTTCACACTTATTTTTATCCAAATATATATTACCCACAATATATACATGTACACCTTTTTTAACACTACCACATTTATTTCTCAAAGACTTAAAAAAAACATTCTATAACACCGCTTTATCTTGAGTTGAGTAATATTACACGCTAAAGGACGTAGCTCGACTCAAAAAATGAAGGAAGTAAAGTAATAAATTAACTTAAGGACGTTCATCACAGTTAGAGGGGAAATGTAGAGAGTGCAGTGAGGGGGGAGCGAGCATGCGGCAGCGCCGGCAACTGTTTTGAATGCATTTGTATACTCACATATGGGCGTCTGACACTGTTTTTTTTATTTAACTGCAAAAGTAACTTGTCTATCTTTCTGAAAATTGAGAATAAGACCAGGATCACGGTATTGAGTCATGCACAAAAAAATTGGAAAAATTCTACATACCTTTTTCTTATAAATTCCATTTTTATGTGACTCCTCCATAAGGTTACGTGTTAAATTGAAGTTTTTTCAACATTCAATGTTTAAAAAACGGTGTTGTGAAACAATCTAAAGTTTCACAAATTTTTACATGTAACTTTTTCTCGTCATTACAAGCATCCTGTTGAAATTTCAGGAAGATCGTACAGAAAACGCTGCGTGTGATGAACGTCCTTAAGTTGCGTATATTTTCAAGGTTACAATTCTTAAATAGTTAATTTACTGAAGCGCAAAACACGCATGTAGAAGTATGACTTACGAAAGAAACATCTAGAAAATTAGTTATAATGTATTGCAGGTAAAAAGATTCATTGTTTACTTATGAGACTAGTTTTTATTTTGAAATCCATACTCCAACCTACAAGTGGTTGAAACTACTATATTTCAAATAGAAAAGCTTCATTCAGTCTCTCTGTAAGAGTCTTTTATCTAAAATACACAATAGTTGTAAGGACTACAGAAGCTGCTATTTTGTTTGTACGAGTTAGTAATATAATTGACTTGTGGAGTAGTAACGTGATGCAAGTAACAATATTTTTTGATAAACACAAAAAAGTATAAACTAGAAGCTAAGTAAGAAACAGCAATACTTTAAATCAATTCTACTTTCAAAACCATTAAAACAAGACAAAGTACTGTCTTTGTTTGATAAAATAAAGATGCATCTTGAAGTGTAGAGGCAAAAAGGGGAATTCCGTTTAATATAGAGGGAGCTTATTGCGTGGGCTAACATTTTTTGGCGTGAATAGATAAACTTAAGTTTAAAAGGAATCCAAAGTATAGTACATTGGTGTTGGACGACGCCTCTCTTATGAGATTCAGCTTCATGGAATCATGCATCAAAAATATGTAACATTTATCTGATAAATTCACGTCAGATAAAAAGAAAATTAATCTAATACAACTGAACGTCATTTCTCTACATACCCACTGTTTTCAACAGCTTTCTGTGCATATTCTACTTGAAACACTCGTCCATCTGGTGAAAATTGCGAAGCTGATAAATCATACTGCAAATTTATAAAAAATGTTTTACTAGTCAATTATAATTCTGAAAAAAATATTCTTACCCCTGTTCCTATTGAACTCATTTTTATCTCATAAACAGCTTTGAAAATTTAACAAATAATAACTTATTCATTCAAAACAGTGCTTTGGTACCAATTCCCACTACTAATACAAAAGTTAGTACAGTGATCCAATTACTAGGATTTTAGTACGAATCTGATTAGTGTAGGTGAATTCAAATATCAGTATGACACAGCTTAAATTCGTGTTCACTTGTATAAAGGTGTACTCACAGTCCTACAGCGGTTGTGCGTCGTGGCCAAATACAAACAGCTTTCTCGCACGAGGCCCGAGCAGTGTTCGGGTGTGTTCCAGTAACGCTCTCCAACAACTTACCGACAACTTAATTATGTCTTGCGATATCTTGCGTCATGTTAAAGTTGTCGGTAAGTTGTCGGAGAGCGCTACTGGAACACACGGTTCGTATTGTCAGTAGAATTCCATCCTCAGAGGTGGCCCGAGGCCCGAGGCGTCGCATAGAAATCGAACAGAGGGGCAACTCTCTGCAGAACACCAAGCAGACGTAGTGTAGTAGTACAACTAGATTGTGTTCGCCAACACCAATAGAGGTTGCGTTCGGATAAATCATATTCTCATCCCAATAGAATCCTAATCGTATTCTTGACAATAACACCAGTATAAGGCTGCGGTTACATAGCTGCGGAAATAGCCAACGGAACGTCACTGCGTCAGAAAAAAAGTTCCCCCACCATCGGTTTCGCAAGTGACTCTCCCGTTTCCGTTCGGCTACAGTCACACGGAGCGCAATAGAGTGTGCAGGATAGAATTGTCTCTACAAGCGACCGTGTTAAGTCTATTTCGCTGCAGGATAGACCTCTTGCGTTGCGCAAGAAACTTAACACAGTCACTTAGGCTGCACTCCTGCAGTCACATTAGTTAGAGCAATGTTGCGTAATTATAGCATCAGCAAAATAACCGGATGACACTTCGTAACATTGCAGTAGAAGCGATTTCCAACCTTTCATTCTTTTAAACTAATTCTCCCCATTCATCGATAATCGAGACATGGGGCGATGAAAAACAATTTTTTTTCTTGTTAACTGAACCAAACTACAGTAAACAAAAAGAATACACCTAACGTATATCACAATTTTTACCAGCCAAAACGTACAAGCTGATTTAAAACACGGAATTATTAAAAAAAAAAGTTTTAAATGATTCCGATTCAAATCAGCTTGTACGTTACGGCTGGCAAAAATTGTGTGATATACTTAAGGTGTATTCTTTCTGTTTATTGTAGTTTGGTTCGGTTAACAAGCAAAAAAAAAGTTGTTTTTTATCGCCCCATATCTCGGTTCTTGATGAATGGGGAGCATTAGTTTAAATAGTCGATATGTTTAAAATCGCTTTTACTGCAATTTTACAAAGTGTCATCCGATTTTTTTCTGATGCTATAATTACGCATCATTGCTCTAACTAATGTGACTGCAGCCTCAGCGACTGTGTTAAGTTTATTGCGCCACGCAAGAGGTCTATCCCGCAACGCAATAGGCTTAACACGGTCGCTTGCGGAGATAATTCTGTCCTGCACACTCTATTGCACTCCATGTAACGGCACCCATAGAAAAAACGTTAATCGTACAAATGCCACATGCCCGACAAAAATGTGGTTCAAAGGCTAAAACCAGGGCCTGGCCAGGCAAGCCTTACATTAATGTCAGGGCCTGGGCAGGCTTAAATGTAGAATTTATCACACGGTGTGATGAGGTTGACCGCAGGCTACGATCAGGGCCTGGCCAGGGTGTGTGTATACATGTATAAAATATTTCTACTGTACAGTACTACAGCAGCAGAACTAACTACTAACAGTAGGGGTTATGGTAAATATATGTATACCCAACGCTTTTGGATCTAAACAACACGATAACTAATTTTAGCAAATAATAAAGAAAAAACGATGTACACGGATTATCGCTGATTTTAAACTCTTTTTATTATTTGTTTCACTCGCATTCGTAGTAATCATGCTGTATTAAGCTTAATATTTTTTCTCAGTACTCGCGCGTTCTCAGAATTTTTTCTTTTAATCGTTAAATTTTCTCACTCATCTTTTGTAAAATGTATATTTAAGGAACGAATGAACAAGCATAAGCAAATAGAAGATAAATGGAAGTGTAAGTGTACGTACATGTACATGGTATGTGCATGTGTGTGTCACGGCTCGAAGGTCGAAGGTTATACAGTATACCTATATTTGTGATACAACATCAGGGCCTGGCCACACCCTTTCAATAACCTCAGTACAATACTGGCCGAGGCCTGCCCAGGCCACCTGGCCAAAGACTGGTGTTCAGTTACGGCCGTCTAGTGGTCATTTCTTGTCAGGTGGATGCGGAACAGTACGTTGCGTTAGACAAGCAGCCAATGGTCATGAAGAGTTCAAGCGAAAACAGTTTCATATTGTGTATTTGATAAAAATTATTATCGAATGACTGTCACTTTTTGACATTTACTGACAGCTAATACTGCTATAATATAAATACAATTACACGTGAGAGGAGCAAGAGAACATAGTAATTATTATGTTAAATTGATATTTCCTTGACTTCCGTCAATACGTTACGTCGAGTTCCGCATCTATGTGCACGATGCACTTTTTGTCTAAAGGAAACGGAAGTGTCACTTGCTAAACAGATGTTGGAGAAACCTTTTCTGACGTAGTGACGTTTCGTTGGCTACTTCCACAGCCATGTAACCGTGGCCTAAGGCTGTAACTGTAACCAATGCTAATAAATGCCGTAACCAATCCACGCATTACTAAAGAGAGAAAGAAAGCATGTCATTCTATTCCTCCAGCCTAGCTGCACCCTATCAAAAACTTCAATGTTGAATCAATGCTGATTCAACGCCAAAATCAACATTGATTCATCATGAATGACGGAACACTGAAATGGGTCGTAATCTACAAAGTTGATTCAACACTGATTCAACGTTGAATCAGCGTTGATTCAGCGTTGATCAACACGTTAAAATTAAATTTTAAAAAATTACAAAGTAGTAAAATAACATTTGGAACAGATATTTACGTGTATGGAGCTACAATCAGTATGGTAACACCAAAACAGGGGGGTTCAGTTATTTGATGTTTAACTGTATTGAATGCACATTATATTTTTCTATTATTAAATTAACGTTTAAATCAACGCTAATTTAACGCTAATTCAACGCTGATTCAACGTTCAATCAGTGCTCATTCAACGTTGAATCGTTGTTAAATCAACAATGTGAATTACGACTGATTTCAATGTTCCATCATTCATGAAATCAACGTTGATTCAACGTTGGTTCAGCGTTGAAGTTTTTGATTGGGCACTTTTTTCTTAATGCTGCCACCAGTAGTATATACTCTACGACTACGACTGACTTTTGGTGAAGGAGGAGAGATGAAAAGGGAAAGACTAAGAGCAGACAGCTGACAGAGTCCGCGAGAAAGAGATGCTAGACGACTGTTGTCTACTTTCTCTCTCTACCACCGAGACCTGATGACGGTACCCTACCTTACTTCTCGAGTAGAAATTGAAAACGGGTAGCTCAGCTTGAACGCATGGTCCAACTCAAGCGACCAAGCCTGGCCGCAGGTGGGTTTGTAATACGGTGCTGACTTGGGCACAGATTGGCCTGACTTGGCATGATTTTCGCCCAGTAATCACCCACTTTCATCTGCACTGATAAAGGATATATAAAAGCATATAAGTTTGTATATATATTCATGTATATCTGCGCTCGCGCATGTCATGCTACCCGAGTAGAAATTGAAAGTGGGCAAAAACTGGGTCTAAGCTTGGCTGCCATGCCTCCCACGTTGGCTACAGCTTGGCACCTTACTTGGCCTTCAGTGGGTTTGTAATATGGCGCTGACTTGGGCGCAGCTTGGCCTTACTGGTTTACATTAATTTCTTATCTGAACACTCATTCCTCCACACCTTTTGACCTCCTTAACTTTTGTTGCTCTCATATGCTTACAAATCTCAGACGTTTTGCTCCACTACACTCGCTATATTCATGCTGTCCATCTTAGCCATTTTACATTCAAGATCATATCTTTTAAACAGCTTTACAACTTCGCTCACCCCTAAATCGCTCGTCATATACCTATTTAGTAACCTTTTTCGCTCGCAAAAATTTTCTGGCCACAAAATACATACTTCACTCTCATTCACTACATGCTCCAACGTACCTGCGCTTCTCTTACACTACATAAACAACCTTTCCTCGTCACTCATTCAACAAACATTGTATCTCTCCAAATTACCACACTTGATTCTCGCTGCAGTGCTAATATCACTATCTGCTCTCCACTTGTCTAAATATTTTGGTAATTTCACAGTCACTTTGCCCTTGTATCTTTTATTATACCTAGAATTACTTTTTTTACGACTAGCTCTTGACAATCTATGTCCCTTAGCCTATTTTGTACTTCGCTTATGACACTGACATTCCCGTGCACATTCTCAGTCAAAAATTTATAGCTATTAATATGCCTATAATTTATAGCTATAATTATAGCTATAACTTTTTTTTTTTTTTTAATTATAAAATTTGTTCACCTTACAATCCAGGGATGGTCGGGGACAGTCTGGGTGAGTCAGAGACGAAAGTGAACGAGTGCTCTTCTCCGATCGTCCCCGATCGTCCCTGACCGTACACGATGCGCAGTTGTACATGTTAGGTTAGGTTAATGCTGTATGTAAGCAATGTTTTGTAAATAAAGAAGTGCAACTACAAAAAAGTTTGTTTACTTTTGCATTAACCTAACCTAACGTGTACAACTGCGCATCGTGTACGGTCAGGGACAATCGGGGACGATCGGAGAAGAGCACTTGTTCACTTTCGTCTCCGACTCGCCCAGACTGTCCCTGACCGTCCCTGGATTGTAAGGTGAACAAATCTATAGTGCTTTGCGTCCGGCTCCTATAAAGGGCACTACTTTAGAGAATATATACATGGAGGAAGCATTGTATGCTCCGACCGCGAGACGAGATGAGAGAGACAAAAGACAAATAGCAGTACAACCTTTCTCTCTCTTACACGCCTCTGATTGGTTGGCCCCCTTCCATATATATAGGTAAAGTCGTACCTACGAGTGGCGGTCGTGGGGGAACAGAGCAGATATATGTAACCTAAGCTCTGATGAAAAAAAACTTATACATTACCAGAG